GAATGGGGAGGTGGGGGCGGGAGGGAGCATGGAGTGGAAACCCAATGGTTATCTGTAGACAATTGGACATCCCCTCACAGAGGGGTCACAGGGAAGAGATGAGCCAGTCAGGGTGCAGTACAGCACCGGCAAAACACACAACTTTTCTCTAGCTCTTTGGTGCTTCAGTCCCCCCATCATGACCTCAATTCTACCTTACAAATCAGATTAGACCAGCGCATGCACACGGCTACAGATAAGAGCCAGCAACACAGGGTATCCAGGATAGATAAACCCCTCAGGGCCAACAAGGAGAGTAGAGATACCAAGAGGATTAGGGGAGGGGAGGGGTAGAAAGAGGAAATCAATCACAAGGATCAATCTATAACCCCCTCCCAGGGGGACGAATAACGGAAAAGTGGGTGAGGGGCAATGGAGGATGATGTAAGATATGGAAAAAATAATCTGTAATTTATCAAGGGTTTGTGAGGGCGGGTAGGGGAAGGAGGGAGAAGCAATGGGTAGCTGATTGTCAGAGGCTCAAGTGGGAAGAGAATGCTTTGAAAATGATGATGGCGGCATATGTGCAAATGTGCTTGACACATTGGAGGAGTGCATGGATTGTGTGATAAGAGATGTTAAGAGCCCCCAGTAAAAGTATTTTTAAAAAACCAAGAGGTCTTTCTATTCCTAATGTTCATTATATTCTTTACCATATTTCCTTCCTTCTAGTCTTTCCTGATTAAACTCATCATACACGTGGCCACCAGTGCTATGACCATCTAACTTCCAGAACTAACCATGCCACTTCTCCATGTAAAATCCTTCTTTTAAAAGTTTCCTTCAAAGATCTGAGCTAGACCACTAAGTGGGCTGAAGAAAGGAGAGCGGGGAGCTTTAGTACACTATAAAGTATAGCAAAGTATATAGCATGATTCTACTTTTTTTTTTCTTTTATTGGGGGCTCGTACAATTCTTATCACAATCCATACATCCATCCATTGCGTCAAGCACATATGTACATTTGTTGCCCTCATCATTCTCAAAACATTTGCCTTC